TAAATTATATTATACGCAGTGTTGCCAGATTTGCTTCAACTATAAATATCAGAAAAAAACAGCAACCTTCAAAAACAAGGAGACTTAAAAAATTAAGATTTTTAAATTTTATTAAACATAACATTTATATTCAAATTGATTGTGGAAAGTATTTTTTTCACATTTGCCATGAAAATTGACAGAAATAAAAAAATAATTATAAACAATGATAAGTTTCTCTTTAGACGGATTCACCGCTTTAGTTCTGAACTGTTTCTTTCACAGAGAGAGAAACATAACAACAACCACATGGAAGAAAAGTGAAAGCGGTGAATACGCCTACTATGTAAAAAATCATGATTCAATAATTAAAAGTTGTGTAAGTGCGACTCTGTCTGGCTTTAATTTCATCATCTACGCTCCCACCTTACCCCTAACAACATTTTTAAATACACTTTTAGGGCCGTTTTCTGAAGTAACCTTTAGCTTCAAAGCGCACTTTATATTTAAAGGTTGGATTAAAAACAAAAATATGTCTAAAGTTAAGCATTTATATTGTCGGTTTTGACGTATGTGTGTTTCTTGGTTTTAACCCACTTAAAATCAGTAATAAAATGCTTTACTTTAGGCACAATCATAAATTTTAATGCAAACTTTAAATATAAAGTGAGCTTTAAAGTTACAGGTTATTTGAGAAAAGGGCCCTTAGTAGTGAACTTTTTACTTTTTAAAATCTTAAGAAATTTTTGTTCTTCATTTGCTGGCGAATACAATGCTCCAGTTGGATGGTGAGTCTGTATAGTATATCATATCAATTGGTGTGTATCCTTGGTCCACAGACATTCACGGCACTTATCACTTCACGACGTAGATCGCAGGGTTCGAACCCAGGGCCCGGACTGGTAATAGGCACCTCTAACCTTTCAACCACAGCGGCCAATGTATACATAGTTTACTTTTATAATAAATTTTATTAAATTCGTTATTTTCTCTTCAAAGTATTCTTGTAAGTGTAAATCTGTTTAATTTGATGACCATATCAATGACCATAGCTTCTATTTTCAGTTACGCCGGAACACAAATTTAGAGGGAAAATATGTACATTAATTAATTAAAGCTCATATTTCCACTTGACCTGAAAGTAGCTCTTAAAACTAAAGAGGTTATAACTAAAACAATTTAGCGCTTTAACAACTGCCTGCAAGAAGCTGCAACTAAACTAAACTAAAACCTTATAAAATCTTATAAGCTCCTATCTTATAGAGCTTATAAAGAATATTAGTACAAAGATCCCAAAGGCCTTTCTTAGTACAACGGTAACTTAAATTAAGATAAGAATAAGAGTTGAGAATAAAAGGTACGTAGCACATCATGTCAAACAAAGCCTGACAAATAGCATTTGGCAAAATTTACACATCTATATAAAGCCAAAAGAAAAAAAAATGCGTGTGTAACACCGTACACATGATAGAAGTGAAACTTCTTAAAAAAGATGTGAGTACCAGGTACCTACTCACAAAATTTGATGTATAACCATATGTTTACGGTTCGGCAAACCATTAGGCGTTTGAGTTACATACATAGGTTTGGTTAGAAATCAAACAATTATTTCATTTCATCTTATTAATTTTCTGATATACATATAATCCGAAAGTTCGTAGTTACGAATTCGTAGCTCCGTTCCGAAAATTCGAGAATTGGTATGCTGTAATCCGATCGTAACTATCAACGGCGTTGCCAACTAAAATAGTGAAAGTCGAAGTTCTTAATCAGCTGCTTTGACAGAAACAAATCAAAATAAATATAATCGCAAGTGAACAGTGAAATTAAAAAAAATGTTTAATCGTATTTGAAAAAGCTTTTCCTTAATTAAGTAAAATAGAATGGATTCAGTGGCTGGTGCACTTTTGTCTCAGGAGGAAGAACATGCTGCAGTCAACTGTTGCATTAATATACAAAGGAGATTGCTACGAGACAGTTCTGATCCATTTAGCTTAAATGATAAATATATGCTCCCTCTTTTTAAGGGCGTCCATTCAACTAAATATTGTGTTGCTTTAAATCTTGCAACGCTTTCCCAAAATTCCACCACATCCTCTTTAACTATTACAAAGCCTCGGGCAATGTCCGGCCTTTCGCTCATGCATTCCACCAGTTTTTCGTATTGCGAGCGATTTGTTCTGATTGTCGACTTGATAATTTTGTAAACATTTAATAATACATTGTTTTTTATTCACACTTCAACTTACATACATATTTTTGCGTTTCCACACTTTATTTTATTGATATTTTAAAAGAATTCGCTTCGCTCCGACACCAGTTGCTCTTCGTAGAAAATTTACGACAAATACATACAAATTACAGCTATGTCGGATTCAGGCATACCAACATTACGAATTTCGAAGATGGTCTCCGAATTTCGAAATTACGATACGGCAACGCGGATTACAGCATACCAATTTTAAGATTCGTAGCAAAATCGAATCTACGACGGATTACAGCATAGGGGTGATAATTTATTTATTCATTTTCCGGTAACACCACCTTATATGAATTCGCGCTTCCAGCATCCATAGGACCGGGTTGTAATGGAAGTAATTGTATGTTTAACAAATAAATGAAAATGTTTATAATGCAATCAATAGATCCTTACGAATTCGCCATTACCAAGGCACTAAGTATTTTTCGGTTAAGTGCACAACTTTTTCGTGCATAGAAGGATGTGCAGCTAAGCAAAATATACTGTATTGCTTGGTAGCGGCAGAGCTGAAATGCGCAATGAGTTCGTTCATACAAACATATATATGTATGTATACATATACATATATACATATATGTATGTATACATATACATATATACATATATATGTATACATACATACGTGCATTCAAACATGCATACATTCATAGGTAGGTACTCGTACCCGTCATGCGTCGCTTTATTTCTTTTTTCCCCTTCCCTATACTACCTACATACAGGGTGTCCCAGAAGTAACGTGCCAAACTTTAGGGGAAGGTAGGTGGGGGGGTGAGCTCCCTGATAAACAAAAAAGTTTCAGGTAAAAGTGTGACCGTTTTTGAAACATTTACATTTATTCGAATTTAAAAAAAATCGTGCCTTTTCATGTGTTTTCTTTAACTGCAACTACAAACCGGGCAATACTTAGTAAATTTTTTAGGTAAAATACTTCCAGATAGTTGCCTCTCCATACTCAAATGCAATGTGGTTAAAATATATTAAGGATCCATTATAAAATTAGGACTATATTGCGATTTTTAAGTTTTTGATATTTTCTTCCCCAACTTTGACTATCTCGGGTGAAAAAAAAATGTACTGAGCTATAACTTTACATTACATAAAAAAATTGCTCATTTAATAAAGATTTCAGAAAGGTGCCACACTTACTGTTTTGAATAGAAAAAAAAGTTATAGCCGCTTTTGTGGGTAAAGGACTGAGACACACTAGAATGTATTTAATAGATTTAAATTGAATTTGCTCGTGTTACCGTCAAATGACATGCTAAATAGTACAAAGGTACATTATTACCTGCTCCTGACATTATTTTGTGTTACTTACCGGAATTCGGACTAGAGTCTATAACAAGGGCTATATCTATCAATATTTTGTGTGAAGGATGGGTTCACGTGAAATAAGATATACATGAGTTCTTTGAAGAAAAATTTATTCATTTATTGATAAAATATGCTCAAATTGGCGACCTTCTACTCTAATACAAGCTCGGCACCTTTTAATAAAAGACGCTTTTAGAGATCTTAAACTCAATTGGGCTATCTCAGCAGCAGCTCCATTTATTTGTTCCCGCAAATGCTCTTCGTTTTGAATTGTTTTTGAATAAATTTTGTCCTTAAGACAGCCCCAGTAGAAAAAATCTAATGGATTCAGGTCTGGCGATCGAGCGGGCCACGTGATTGGCCCGTATCGTCCAATCCATCGGCGAGGATAAGTTTCGTCTAAATGAGCTCTTACTTATGTAAAGTTATAGCTCAGTACATTTTTTTTCACCCGAGATAGTCAAAGTTGGGGAAGAAAATATCAAAAAGTTAAAAATCCAGAAATAGTCCTAATTTTATGATGGTTCCTTAACATATTTTAACTACATTGCATTTGAGTATGGAGAGGCAACTATCTGGAAGTATTTTACATAAAAAATTTACAAAGTATTGCCCGGTTTGTAGTTGCAGTTAAAGAAAACACATGAAAAGGCACGATTTTTTTTTAATTCGAAAAAATGTAAATATTTCAAAAAGGGTGACACTTTTACCTGACATTTTTTTGTTTATCAGTGAGCTCACCCCCCCACCTACCTTCCCCTAAAGTTTGGCACGTTACTTCTGGGACACCCTGTATATCTTCCTTCTCACTCATGTAACGTTTTCAGTTTTAAAAATTTCACTCTCCATTTGTGCGATGCCGCCGCCTAAGAAGTTTCACTTCAAAAATATTTAACTTGCATGTTGCCTGCAGTGGAATTCGAACCCTGACCATCTCTGGATATCAACAACTTGTGGCAAGCATCTTTGCGCACCCAGCCATATAAATTTGCTTTCAAATATTGAATATCCATCAACACCACAGCACGCGATTTGTACGGATAAACATGTACTATTTATGAATATGTGTGTTTTCACCGTTCTCAGAGCGGCGTTCTGCATGCTCACTCATATATATATACTCAGATGTGAACAGTAAATACGTGCGTAATAAATTTTGTATGAAAATATTATTTTTAAATTCGAACATTTTTAAACGATAATCAAATATAAAGTATTAATTTTTACTATGCATTATTTCCCTCAGTGTACTGATAAAATCTTCTGCTTTAAAAAAATATATTTCTTCTAATGATCAGGTAGCATGAATTTGATGAAATGTCATAATTTTATTAAAAGTCAAATGGTTAGCAACAACAACGAATGTCATTAAATGGAACTACCTTCTTTTTTGTATCATGTTAATCTCATATCTGAAATAGACATTTTACAGAAACGAGTATCACGAAAGAAATCTCTATTTTCAATAACGAAAAAAATTAATAAACAACATACTTTATCTACACATGTTTTTCTACGATTCTTACGAAAACTTGAAAAAGCTTTCTTAGGCTATCTGCACACTTGTCGTCCAATCAGGGTTGCGTTATCGTCTCGCCCTGGAATTTTGAGCCGAGCGCATGCATTTCAGTGATCGGATAACAAACAATAAGCTGGCGCAGAGACACGAGTTGCTCCGCTACAGCATGACACAGGAACACTTTTGTAAGTACTCCAATTTACCACAAATAGACTACATGGTCCAACGATTTTTGCAGGGTATCGGCTAGTTATCGGCAAATCGTAGAAGATGGAGAAACGGATAAGTACGACACTGTCGTTTGCTAATCGTTATGCACGCATTCTTTGTTGACATTTTATTGATGAAAAAGTTAATAAATAAAAATGAGTATTTCTTGCATAAAATCTGTGGAAATTATTAAAAAGTGAATAACGTCAATAAAGTTCAATAAAGTAGAGAGTGTTTGCTATCAAATATGACAAAATGGTAAAAAGTCTCTGCGTGTGTGCACAAAACATATTTGTGGAACAGGAAAGAAGATAATGAAAAATCATGTCTAGAATTGTTGCAGCAAAGTTAATTATTTTAAAATTGCAAGTTTTTGTAAAATTTTTTGTAAAAATATGAACCAAAAAAACAAAATAACTGCTCTAAGCGAATTTTTAGTCGCCAAATAAATTTAAATATCACAACCGAGTTTGCGAAAGTGTAGTCATCATGTAATCTTTGAATCGTGATTGGACGACCAATGTGCAGAAAGACTTATATTTTTTTTTCCAAATGGCAGTTAACCATATGGTTACTTGCATATTTGAAAATGCACGAAATGTCTCCAAAGATAAAACTATTATAGATAAATATCAGCATATATTTTTTAGAAGCTATATATGCATGTATATACGTACAATTACAATAACATTCACATTCAATTTGACAAATTTTTTTTTTTTACTCTTTTTACAACAACTCTTTCATAATATCTGTACATTTCGGTTACACTCGTATTACATACGTAAGCATATCGCACACGCTCTTCAAAAGAGGCAAAAATTTACTTTAATTTTTTTTCAATCTGTTCGTTAGTTGTATTTCCAATTAATGTAAATATTTTTGGCGGTTTTTGTATTAACTGTGTTCGACTGTACTATCCACAAGCATTTACTTGTAAATTTTCGGATTTAATTTTTGAGCTGTGCCTCTTTTGAAGAGAGTGTGCGGTTTGTTGTTTAGTGCTTATTTTTTGTAGTTCGAACATTCTATGCATATCTCCTTTAATGAAAACGGTTTTACGTAGAAAATTAGTAGGGCCTTTCCCATATCTTTCTCATTTAATCGATTTCGCCAAACCCCTTGGCTTTCTCCTCATCTCAGTAATGATTGCGACGCTTATTCGAGGGGCAATATTCGGCGTACTCTTCCCAGGTGCAGCCAACTTTGGTGCAACACTCATTCGTAATCGATGGTGCATCCGCACGCCGAGTGCGTAGCATTGTATTGACATAATCCAATTGTAGCCACGTATGAGATATGGCTGTAAAAAAATATAAGTAGAAATGGAATGACATAATCGCAATGATATTCTAAAGCCACTGCATTACGTTTGCTTCGTTTGTGTATTGTTTCATCCTCAGTTCGCTTGCGGTTGCGTCGTGTTAGTCGGTATATATCTTTCTCGCAGGCCCAATACAGTTGGCGTATTAATTTGTCTCGGCAGCGGGAATGTGTCTCCTGATGCCATACATTCTGCCAATCTGATTGGGATCTGTAATGTTGAAAAGAAATTAGTCTGGAATTCTTATTTAATGATACTCTTTTTTTTTGGTAAAGGTTTTTAACGTCACGCGTACGCCGCGCAGTAGTTTCAAATCAACGAAAAGCGGAAAAAATTCAATATCATGCCAGCGGTTAGCCCAGTCAAGCTGAAAATTAGTATAATGAAACTTCATGGGCCATGTGATACGAATTTAAAATTAATTACAGAAATATCAAAATGGCTGCCCAAAGTTAAAACAAACGATTTAAAACATAAATATAAGAAGTTTTTCTGACCAATGACACCTTGTAGACGTTCTATGTGTAAAATCCTTCAGAGAAACTGATACTCTCCCAGGAGTATATGTATTTCCGCAACAGTTACAGGGAAAACGGTAAAAATAATAAATAATTAGCTAAAACAAGGTTGTTTACTTTTGTTACATAAAAAATAACAGTTCAAACCAGTAGAAAAAAACTAGCTGTGCTTCCCAATACTTAGAATTGACTTTCGTTAAGGGGCAGATATTACCAAAAATGGAAAAATATTTAAATAATAATGGATATGTTTTAGGTATGTAATAGATAAATTGTATCTCTTTAGTCTCAACTTATAAAATGTGTATACATACAGTCCAACTTTCAATAATTTTGAAATTTTGTTAAAATATTAATTTACGCAATTGAAAATTGGATTTCAAAAATATTTATTAGGGCGGAGTAATTGGTTCGGAGCAAAATTTTCGAAGAAAATGTCTAGCGAATTTTAATTATACGCTTAAGTCTAAGCAAAAATGGCAAAAAAACTATATACAAATTTTCAAGAGAAATAGCAGTATATTGTAACCTTTTTGGTCGAAATTTATTTTTCATTGCGCCAAAAAACTTTACACATTATTTTCTATTTTCTCGATTTTGTGAAGTAGTTTCTTAAATATGAAGAAAACACACAATTTTGTAAATGAAACGTTAATTTCGTTCAGAAAAAATTATCATACACTGATTTTTCTTTTAAAAATTGGAAGGTCAAACGCCATTTTTGGTATTTAGTTTGTTCACAATTTTTGCTTAGAATCGAGTGTACATTACAATTTTCGTGATCAATTTACAAATTGTCATCGTTAACGAATGAGTCGGCTTAATTTAAATTTGTTTCCCGTTTAGTTAGTTTTTGCTCGTAATGTAAAGGTTTTCAAAAATAATAAAAACCCGTTAATAATATTAAAACCTTCTTTCTAAATATGTTTATAGAATTTTATGTAATTACCATGAGACATATAAAAGGCAAGTAGTGAAAGAAACTTTGAAGACATTAACTGGCTAACCAGAATGTTGTACCACAGCTAGGGTGGCCAGATATTATAGTGACATAATCAGTACAGCTGGGATCAAAAATCAGTACAAAGCCATAAAAATCAGCTCCTTTTTAAGCGTATTTTTTATTATTAACAATATAACAACCAAATAACAGTCCATTAATTTAACAAAAAATAACGAATAGACTTTTGAATACATATAGTATTATCAATATAAAAATTCATTACTTTAAAACAAATCAAAGGTATTACGTATGTATGTACAGCAGTGCTCACGAAAATAGTAGTAAAATATATTGACAGGTTTTGAAAATTGTTCCTCTCCTTACTTAATTTAATTTTTTTTATAAAAATATAGTTAATTCTATAACAAAAGACAAGTGAGTTGAAGTCTCAAACTTTCTAGAAAATTTATAAAAATTGAGGAAATTAAAAAAAAATTTTAGCCCTTTCAGTTTTAGTAGAAGACGAGCTCGAGTCAGAATCTGTTTGCATATTTTAAGCTACAAATTTAAAACATATTTAGTGCTTATTAAATACAACATTCACATTAAAATGTTGACTAAAAGGTATACTACCGAATTATCGCTAAACGAATTTTCGAGTGCGAAAGAAATTTAATAGTGTTAAATGTGTATGTGCAAGTAAAATTACAGGTGATCGAACATCAAAAATCAAAGTAAAGCTACATATATCATATCCAAGAGTCGGTAGTTTGCACCTTTTCCAAATTTTTAGAACTTACATTGCACCGTAGCAGTAGTCGTCTTAAGTTGGACATACTGACAGCCGATTTCTCAGTGGATGTTTAATTATAATCAAAACATTATCTCTTACTGTCATCTTCTCAGTGTACTTAATATATGATTAACTCACCACTACCTTTCATAAGATTTATTAATGGCGAAACCATCTTTTCCTGTAAATCCTGTAAAACCTGCAAATCGTGAAGTTGGGTTGGGTTGAATCCAAACAGTTTGTTATTTTGCGTTTCCTAGGAAACGAAACAATTGCAAGCTGACACCCTTTTAATAATGGTTTCAATCTGTTCACACTAGAGCTCGGGCAATTCGGTTAATCGATTAACCGAATTATTCGAATCTGACTGAAGTCGACTACTGTTAATCGGTTAGCAATATTCGAGTAGTCGAAAGCTGTCGACTATTCGGATAACCGTTCACTTTAGATTATTCGGCTAACCGTTCATTTTCGGTTAATCGAATATTTTAAGTTCGAGTTTTTTTTTGCATTTACAGATACATATACATATATGAAGTCTTGTTACATTCGTAGTACATATATAAGATTGCATGTGCAAAATTAAGGCAAACTTATTTTGCAAGAATGTGCGCTAATTATTGAAATGTTATTGCGAAATATTTTAGAGACAATGGCTAAAGCAATACCTACCTCTCATTTTCGCGAGTTTTTGTTATGGATTTTTGTTAAATGTTTGTTCAGTGAGGATGTGGATGATTGTAGCACAAAACTGCACCACATATGGAACATGTTACTTCCTTTTCGTCCTCTGATTTTTCGAAAAAATCCCAAACCCAGCTCCTTTTGCGTCCGCTCATTTTTGTATCTGAATATACATACATATGTGTGCATGTATATATTTAAAAAAAAATTTTTTCATTTGTCAAAGAAGTTTCAATGAAAGTTCGGTTACTGAAATTCGATTTGCTACAATGCTCGAGTAGTCGAAGCAAAGCAACTATTCGAATAATCGAAGGCGGGCGACTATTCGAATACCATTAACCGACTTATAAGCACGCGAACGGTTACGAATCGAATAATCGGTTAACCGATTAGTCGAATAGTCGGATAATTTTACGAGCCCTAGTTCACACGTATGAGTTGTCAAAAACCATTGTTTTGAACATGTAAACCTGAAGCAAATGGCAATTACTCCAATTTACAAAAGTATTTATTAAATGTAAAAATCAGTAAAAACTCAAAAGATCAGTAGATTTTGCGTACTGATTTCGGGCTCTTAAAAATCAGTATAATAGAAAAAACTCAGCACATGAACTGATTAAATCAGCGCATCTGGCCACCCTAACCACAGCCATTAGCTATTTCGCTAGCTACGTCAGCTACATCAACAATAATTCACCACTTAAAACATAACCATTATTTTCCAAGCAAAAATTAAAACTTAACGTAACGATTATTTTCCGAGTAAAAAATGAAACTCAAAAAATAACCTCTATTTTCCGAGCAAAAAATAAAAATTAAAACGTAACGATTATTTTCCGAGCAGAAAATAAAACTTAAAATGTAACCATTATTTTCCGAGCAAAAAATAAAACTTAAAACGTAACGATTATTTTCCAAGCAAAAAATAAAACGTAAAACGTAACGATTATTTTCCGAGCAAAAATAAAACTAAAAAAAATAACCATTATTTTCCGAGCAAAAAATAAAACTTAAAGCGTAACCATTATTGTCCGAGCAAAAAAGTAAAACTTAAAACGTAACCATTATTTACCAAGCAAAAAATAAAACTAAAAAAATAATGATTAAGCTTGATTTTTATAAGCGAAAATTAAAAAATAGAAATCAGTTCAGCGGTATTCCAACTAATAAGAAATGTATTGCTTTACTTCTTATGCACGTAGAATTTCTCTTTCAGTGTGATTTTTTGAGTTGAAATTTCAAAGATAATCGTTATTTGCGGTCCGCGATATAAAATAATACAAAAACCACAACATTTTTTATATCGTCAGACAATTTTTAAAGTTTTAGCGCAAAACGAATAAGATCACCTTCAATAGATATTAAATTCAGTTACTTTTAGTCAAAGCCTGCATGAAAAAGTAATTGCATATAATTTGCATACTATGTATTTGCATTAGAGACCAAAATTTTTGCACAGTATCATATTACAATAATGCCTATCTAGAAATAATAAAATAAAAGAACCTTTTGATCTTATTGTACAAATGAATTTGTTTAATAAATGAAATTACATGAAATTTAAAAGTTGGCGTTTTTGTTGTGCAGTTTTATAGTCCATTTAATTATAATTGTTATAAAGTGCAAGTTTCAAGGGGCTACAAAATACTGTTGGTTTTTGGTTGACGGTGTCACGCAATTTTTCGATACAAAGTATGTTCGAAAATCGTTTAATATAGGGAAGATAATGGCTAATTTGAGAACTTTAAACTTTAAAGTGGCATAAAATGAAAACGATTACTAATATTAGTATTTGGTAATATACGTGTCTTCTTCTTTTTCATAACCTATCGGAATAAGAATATGAGACACCAGGGACTAATTTTTTATTTTTTTTATTTTGTTGCCCAGGGTTATCTGATACATAGTAGGGATGTTGCGGATGTGGAATTTTAGACATCCGCGGATGCGAATGCGGATGCGAATATCTAACAGCTAACATCCGCGGATGCGAATGCGAATGCAGATGTCAAGTATTTTTAAAAAACAATTAGAATCTAGCATAATGGCGAGATCGTTGTTTAAACAGCGCTTACAAGCCAAACCAGATAAATATGTCATGTTGTTTCAGAATTTGGAGAACCTGTAACTTTATCAGCACTTTTCGATTTTAGTTTTTGTAATTCATTTTTAATACTTTCTTCTGCGACTGCTTTAAAAAATGTGTGCTTATAGAGAGCTAAATAGGCGGATATGGAAAATAGATTATTATTTTTGAACAAAATTCTGTTTT